CGTTTACCACGTTCAGGCTCATCTATGAATCCGGGGCTCAGGGAGTAATTGAATCTGAAGTTCAGGTCCTGGGTTGCTTCTCACAGGAACTTTGATTTTATTTGTTTTTTCCATTACTGTTTTCTAGCTGCAGAGATTTTGAAGTGAGCTGATTTTCTGATTGCATATAACTAGCCAACTTGTTTATCCAGAGTATTTTACTTATAATCTGTAAACTGTAATCTGTCTGTTGTCACATCCGTTCATGCTAGGAAGAAGGCCAGCATGCCAAGGTAAAAGCAGTTCAGTGGGTATTACTTTACATCTTTCAGCGCATGTAATTTTTCAGTGAAATGTCTCTTTTGGTATTCAAATATTTGATAAATTACCAGCCATGTCATTGATAGAGGAAAACAACAGTGTATTTTGAGCAAAAGTGTGACTAAAATGAAGACACCAGAAAGATGCAAATGGCACAATATACTTTGATTATTTGCATGCGTTTGTGTGTTAAGCATTCCCCAAAAATTTCCTGTAAATTCATCGTAAATGATTGCTTAGTATTGCTGATGGGCTTGATATAACACAGAGCATGAATCTGGGTAGCGCCTGCCTACCCGTAGCATTTGATGTCCTGAGGACTTCTGTAAGGTGTGTCATGCCCTTGAAAGAAATAGGATGTATGGAAGTATTTAAAAATCTGGCTGTCTTTAGTGGTGTAAGCACTGTAACTAATCCAGTCCTACAGCAGCTAAAAGATCAGTATAAAAACATACTGTTGGGCTATGGGAAGTGGCCTTGTACAAGCGTCATCTGTAATTATGTTTCTTGTCCATTAATTTCTAGGTTTGATCTGCTCTGCTCTCATTGGAGTGGGGTTTAGTTCTGGTTTTGCTTTGTTGCCTGTCTTGTCATGAACGAGCTTTGCTAAGGGTTGAAGAAGCACCCCAGAAACTGAAAAGATGAATGACTAGTAGCTAATAAATTAGGTAGTAAACAGTTTTTTGGATAGCACCTCAGAAGCTAGTCCTTTTCCCTCTGAATTCCTGTCCAGGTCAACAGCAAGTCAGATATTATTCTCATCGGAAGAAATGTTTTAGAATTAAGATAATACATATGAAATTCAGTGTTTCAGTAGTATTCTGCTTTTTTACTTGTTTTTAATGTGGTCATTACTGCAAGCCATGCCAGTAGAAAGGATGAAGAAGTGCTGCAGGGTTCACTTCTGGGCTCCTTTCTTTCCTGTGCTCCATCAGCACCATCTGTTGTGCTGTGTCTGCAGGAGAAAAAGTGGATTGCAGGAGCCAGCGACAGGTTTTTGCAACAAACCTTGTGTTACGTCTCCACTCTGTCAAGGCCGGTGTTGGTGCCTTGAGGCAAGGCTTGCAGAGCGGGGTTTGCAGTGCCTGCGTGCAAGAGCACGCTCCCAGAGCCACACATCCCAGCAGTCGGGTCTTTTGCTCTGGATCATTCCCAGACGAATGTTCTGGGGGTACCTGGGCCTCAGCTGGTGGGTGGTCACTGGGTGGCTTGAAACAGTGCTGTGTGGGAAAACAAGTTAGACTGGAAAACACGGGTTTTCCCGTGCCCAACAGCAATGGGCAGTGCTGGAAGAAGGCTCCTGTCAGTTGAGAGTGAATTGGGGAATCACTAGTGAGGGCACCACATGGAAAACCAGGTGGGGAACGGTGGCCCAGACCACATGGGAACAGTTGTCCCTTCGGCACCAGCAGGCCTCTTCCTGGCGGGGGCAGCGTGTTTGCACGGCAGTGCTGATACTTTGGGGCAGGACCAAGCCCCTGGCAGTCCAGCAGAGCCGTGGGGAGGCTGGGGGAGCATTGCCGCCTTCTCTGCTGCAAGCTGCGACCCGGGACGTTGAGCGGTGAGGGTAGGTCAGGGCTGACATTGAAAGCAGCGTGCTGGGTCGGGGCAGAGCTGCCTGCACGCAAATTCCTTTTTTACTCGCACAGCTCCAGTAGATGCTTGGCTGTCCCTTCCTACCTTGGGAGAGCAAGGTGAGCAGATCCCTGCAGCCCCCCCCAGGCAGCAGGACACATGAGGGACTCTGCAGGCAGAAGGCAGGGAGAGGGCAAGCACCTCACACAGGGTTACGCGTGCTCTGAAATGTCCACCTCTGTTTGAATGATGCTAATATGCCTGTTTATGGCTAACGTCCATGCTTTGCAAACGGGGCTGAAAAAGCAAGTGACTTTTACAGGCCTCCATCTATCTGTGGGGGTTTGTTCTGACCAAAGCTAAAAGTGCTTCACCCTGCGGAGTGCTCCTTGCTTGTAAGAGAGACCTGCCAACTCCCCTCTCAGTTGTTATTTCTCAATGGATGTTCCTGAAAAAAATGCCTGGATGTTGTTATGTCACAGGAAAAGGACCATTTTCTCCGTATGTTTTATTTAATTTGATTAGCCGTTGTCTCTGTTAATTAAACTATTAAATACTCCAAGAGGGAGACTAGCCGACCTTCCAAGATGTGCACGAGCAAGTGGAAGGAAATATAACTGTCCTCTACTGACTCATGGTCTTTGAAAGAATAGAGGAGATGATGTAAATAATGCAGATATGCTTTATAAAGACAGCAGTCAGAGTTAAGCCAAAGTTGCCTCCCATATTTTTCTTTAATTGTGTTATAGGAAATGGTTTTGAATTGTTTTATTTCCTAATAGTCACATCCTTATTAGCCTCTTGTTTTTCCTTCCCATAACCCTCCTGTGGGCTGTGTTGTACGTGGGAATTTCTAGCCTATAAAACCTAAAACCTTGTGGTAGAAAACCAGCTTATATTTTATAGAATCGTTAGTCTGTGTTCTTGCCCACTCATCTATGTGCACATGCTGAAGTATCCCATGTTTTATTGTTGACGTGGACAATGTTAGAGAGGATTATGTAGACTTTTTAACTGGCTATTTATGATTTTATTGGTCTTCATAAATTAAACATCCTCTTTATTTTAGGAAGGACATTTCAAAAGGCCAGAATGAAAGGATTGAGGGGAAGACTCTATTGTTCCCTTCAGATGCAAATTCTTTTCTCCCTCTTTCTCCTCTGACTCTGTGGGGTGAGTGGCGTAGCACAGCTTGCCTGAAGTTTGAGCCCCCTGTTGCAGGGATCCCTATGACGTTACCTTTGTAGTTAAATCTGCAAATTCCTTTTTTTCTTTTTGCCATTCTCAGAAATTGATGCAATCATAGCAGATTGTTCTCACTTGAACCCTGTTTTTGTTTTGGAGAAAAGACTGCTACTAACTTTTTTTCTTTCTCCATAACTGTATACATTTTCAGTAAAAGCCATCATCTGTGTGCATCCAGAGATTATTCATAGTCGGTTTGTTTCTCCATTTTATTGGTTTGATTCCTAAATGTTATCAGTGAGTTAGAGCTGAGCTCTTTTAATGCAAATGGCATAATGCCCAATCTTCTGAGATTAGCTGGCAAGCAATTCTGGGCATGATGCCACCTGGCATTTCTCAGAAAGGGGCTGCTAATAAAACACCGGAAAAAAATAAGATTGTTCCAGACATGCAAACCCCTGAAGTTGCAGGGAGCGAGGAGTGACAGAGATTTCACAAACACACCCAATATTCTGTGGCACAGCTCGGAAACTGCTCAGGAAATACCATCCTAATACCTCTGCAGAAAAATGGTATTGAAGGAAAGGTACTTTGAGTACAAATTAATTTTTCCTTTCTTAAATTTGTGGCTGAAATGCACGTTTCTCATTTTTTCGGCACTTTGGCTCCGGGTTGGCCTCTCTGGGATTCCTGCAGCGGAGCTTGGGTTCCGCGAGCTCTCAGCCTTTTGGGACCTGGAGTTTGTTCCCTTCCGATTTGCCTCACCATGGTGCAGCCCCACAGCTTCTCACAGGACCGTCTCAGGGCTGAAGACCATATCCTTCCTGGGTACCCAACTATAATTAATCTAGGTAAACCTCATTGGGATCCTATCTTTGATCTAAAGAAAGTTTGTTGGCTGTGAGAGGCTTAGAAAGCAATGTTTCCAACTTAGTGACTGACGTTTTCTGATTATAACTTTTGTTTCATCGGAAAACCTCCAAAAAAGCTCGATTCCTGGATAAATAGGTCCCAAGACATTTAGGGCTTTATAGGTCTAGACTAACATCTTAAAACTAGCAGGCTGCCCAAGCAGATTATGCATCACAGATTTAATATGCTCATGAATTAAAATGCCGTTTAACAACTAAGTTGCCAAATCCTGCACCAGCTGAAGCTTTCTGTACACACTTGAGAGGTTGTATCATATACAGCATATGGCAGTAGGCTGTAGGGCACTGATTTGCATAAAAAGCCTAGCCAAGAGCAATAAAAAAAGAAGTATACAGTAAGAAATTGTTCTTCAGTCCAAAGAAAAAGGATTTTTTTTTTTTTCCTTATGGTATTTTGTCTCTGCAACTTCACTGTCTGCTTTCTGTGTGGAGGATTAGTACTGGCGCCAAACGAGAACAGGAGGAGGAGGGCCGGCAACTGCTCAGGGAGTCACCTGTGCCGCTTGGTGGTCTCATCGTTGTGGTAACAAGCCTGGGGGTTCCCCTCCACCCGGATCAGGTGCTGGGTGGGGGCCAGGCTGTCTCCGGGCACCCTGCGTCTCTCGTGGTGGGGGCAATGCTGCACCACCTCTGGCACCTACTCCCCGGAGCTGAACAAGCTGTACTGCCGGCTGGCCAAGCCCTGCCTGGTGCAGGTGAGGGTGGGGGTCCCGCCCCCCTCCCCCCCCCGGGGTGCTGCGTACTGCCGGCTGGCCAAGCCCTGCCTGGTGGGGCGGGGGGGGGCCCCCCCCCCCCCCTCCCCCCCCCGGGGTGCTGCTCTGCGCCATCACCATCTATAAAAAATCAGAGCACGTGGCCGAGGTGGTGCAGCATTACCCCCACCACGAGAGATGGTGGAGCACCACTAAGGCAACCTTGAGCAACTGGTTATTTCTTCATGGTTTTCATTCTGTAGATGGTAGTAATAATATGTCCTGTGTTTCGTCTAAGAAACCACTCCCCCCCCCGGGGTGCTGCTCTGCGCCATCACCATCTATAAAAAATCAGAGCACGTGGCCGAGGTGGTGCAGCATTACCCCCACCACGAGAGATGGTGGAGCACCACTAAGGCAACCTTGAGCAACTGGTTATTTCTTCATGGTTTTCATTCTGTAGATGGTAGTAATAATATGTCCTGTGTTTCGTCTAAGAAACCACATTTTCCTGTTTTCTGAATGTAATAGACTATAATCAGATGTACAAACCCTATTGTTTTCTTGCTGGAGCTGCCTTCTGTATTCATCCCCCATCATCATCCTTATTTTCCAATGACTCTGTATAGACTTTAGAAATAATGACAGGGTTGGGGGTGAAGGGTGGCAAAGGGGTCAGATCCATGCTAGCCCTCAGAAGGTAAAGACTCTCAAAGGCAGTGGCAAAGATCCAGCTGACTTAAGAGAAACAGATTTTTCACTCTCAGTTTACTGCCCCAGCTTCTCCCTATGTCTCATTCTGCCAGGACGCTTCTGTCCTTTCGAGAGTCCCTTAAACTGTGTATAATTTGCTCTGTGTGTTTCTCAGCCACCAAGTAATGTCAACGCAGCGTAAACTTACAACTGTACAAAACTAAGTCTTTTCTTTCAAAAAAAGAGAAGTGATCCAGCATTCCGTTCAGATGCAGTCTGACAACAAATACATTTGTATAGGGTTCCTGAAGCAGGAAAGGATAGGGAATTATTTATTTACTCTGAGGTCTGCACTAACCAACCTGTGCTGTCAAGTGAAAATGTGATGATGTAGTTCATAATGTTGTTTTACACAGTTCTTCAAGGGAAAAAAAAGTAACATACGAAACAGCCAAACCATGCAGCAGACAGTTGTGGGTTTGTCAGGAACAGTGAATGGATCTTGAATTCTCGTAGCACGTATGACACTTTTTGAACTACTTTTTTTTGAATCTGGAAAGCCTATTAAGAGCCCTGAAGGGAGGATCTGGTCCTTTTAATGTTCTTGTAGATCCTAACTGTTTGCTTGCTTCTAGTTTTGTGGTTATAGACTTGTGTCAGTATGATTAATGAGCAATGCAAAGTATGCAAAAAAAAAAAAGGAACAATGAAAGATCTTCCTTCTGGAATAGACAAGAAGTAAAAAGGCAATACAGTACTTGTGCTCAGTAATCACAGAAAGCAGAACAGTTTTTACTTTCCAGTTGCAGGATCTGATTCCAAACTGCACTGACTTAGTGCACGATACTTATACTAAGTGAATTTGTGAATTTATGGATTTTATGTTACTATGTTTTCCTATGGCTGGGAATTTAAAAATTTCCCATTAAGTAGCTGAATGTGTGTAGCATGTGTGCTGTAGTATGTGCATGCATCAGCTCTGTCAACTGGACGAGAAACTATACAGAACTGTTTGAAGACTATTTGCACAATCGTTGAAGTTGGACGGCACCGCTGGAGATTGTCTTGTCCAACTCCCCTGCTTGAAGCAGGGTCAGCCAGAGCAGGTTGCTCAAGGCCGTGTCCAGTCAGGTATTGAATACCTCTAAGGATGAAGACTCCAAAACTGGTTGATTGTTTTAATTTATATACAAAATATATCCTTATGTTTGGTTTAGCTGAGTTGATAGGAAACAGGAAAATTCCTTTCTAGCTGAGGAAAAGAAATGGTACCTTCATGCACACCATTGTCATAAATCCATTTACATAAAAGGCATATTAAATCTATCACGGTATTTCCTCGGTGAAGTCATGAGGGCTACACAAATCCATGAGCGCTTGTGAAGGGTGAACTCTCAGCGACTGTCTGGTGTTCATGGTGCCAACTACTCCTTGTGTATTTTGCCAAGTCAGCTTTGTTGTTCAGGAACGGTTGCGTTCAAACGTGATTATGACAAGTAGCTAAGGCTGTGTAATGTTGCGGCTGAAATAGGACCTGTAGTTTCATGACCTTAAGATTTAGCAGGGAGCCACACGCTTTGGACAATGGAAGCGATGGTAGATGTAGCTGAGAAGGATAGTAAAGTGGAAGAAGCAGGAACATAAAATCTGGCATTTCTGAAGAGTTAATTGTAGCTTTTACTTGCTTATAACCTGTGTAATATTTTTTGGGAAACTGGTATAACCCTGGATTAGGTTAGCAGAGCAGAAGGACCAGAGCTGTGGCCTTGAGGGTCACTATGCTTCTCTGGTCCTCCATAAACACGAGGGAAAGGAAGGCACCAGTGTGGAAGGACCTTACATTTTGCATAGAGAAACACTTTGCATAGCAGCTGGCTGTGTTTATATTACAAATGACAATTTCCAATCCATGTGGCAATTAAGCTTTTCTTATCACATGGATCCTTCTAAAAAGAAACTATTGCATTTATATGTGTATAATATGTATAAAAATATATATAACATATAAACATAAAACATTATGTATAACTAATGTGTGTATATATGATGTGTGTGTATATATAGTATGTGTGTGTATATAGTTGATATTCTCCTGATTAGTTAGGTAAGTAGAGCTAGAGCTTTTTCAAGCCAGTGACTGAATTAATAACAAACAGAGAAAAATTTCATATAGCTGAACGCTTTCGTGTGGCTTTGGTCAAATCACTTAGAGGTGGAAATAATCAGCAGTTGAATTAAGTAAGAGGCCTGATACATACTGGAAAAACTCCATCATCTGTCAGATGTTTTACAACTGTGATGAATGAGTTTTGCTAAATAATGCGAACATGTGTTAAACAAGTTCAGGCCAAGTGCCACATGGTATGGTAAACAGAAGTTGCGCTTCAGGAATGTTTGAAAATACAAATGGATGGTAGGTGGTATGTGGAGAGCACTGGGAGGATAGCCTTTCCTCTGGGAAAGGAAAACTCTTCCTACATGCCTCAGAAATAGTTTTTTATTGTTGTTACTGGTTTTAACAAATACAGATGTAGAGGTTTGCTGGTACTAAAAAGAATTGTTTGGATCATTCAGCTGTTAAGCTGCAAACATGGTATTTTGCGCCCATTGCAAACTTGCCTGGAAACTGCCCTGAACCAGCACAGGACTGAGCCATATGGAAAGGAACCCAATAGCTTGAGTGACTTTTCATTTAAATTACATTTGTTAGAAAAAACTGTTGATGTGGAGGGATTGAGGGGGAAAACTTAAGCGGGAGATCAGTCTAAGTGAGGCTAGGAGTGCTCCAGGGTCTGACTCGCCTCCATCCCTGCAGATGGTGAGAGAGGTGAAGAGCTGGTGCCCCAATGGACAGTGCACCGTTGCTTGAGGCGGCATCGGCCAGCTTTTGTTTCAGAAGGGAAAACCTGTTGCCAGAGCAGTGGGTAGTTTTGTATATAAGCTTCTCTCATGCTGCTATGTAGGACCTATGTGGCTAACGCGCTTAAGCTAACTCACTGATTTCCAAATGCAACTGAGAGAAACATTTAGCACAGTGGTTTTTATTTGTTAATGGGGGTGATGTGATTGCTCACATATTTGCTTTGTATTCTCTCTCACTTTTACATCCAGCCATACTGTTGTGGAGCCTACCAGCATCACACATCTTGTTCCTGGAAAATCTGGGGTATTTTTCACCTGTGAAAATGGGGGAGAAATTCCAAAAGTGAAGTTCTCGCTTGATAAACATAGTCTTTTATCAGTAATTTCCTGATTTTAATATCTGTGGCTTTGGGCACCTCCCTTCAATCCTAATCATGGTACTTGGAAAGTGGAACAGTATGCTGCTTTTAGCACATTTTTATAAGGATGTGAAGTACCTAAGTACTTCCACTGTTAATTCTTTGCAGTCTGATGTACAGGTCCTTAAGAGAGTATGAAGGTGTGTCCTCGCTGCTGGAGAAGCCTTTATATTCACAACAATCTGAGTAATAATAAAAAATAGCAACTGAAGGACAAATAAATTGCACAGGAGTAAAGGATAGCAACTGCAGTGCGCTCTTGCAGGGCTGTTGGGTGCGGCATGTGAAGATCGGGACTGTTGGCTCCCCCATGGTGTTACCTTCCTTCCTAGTGCCTTAAGCTTATCACAGTGCCTGTGCCACATTGTTGGGATGCCTGTTCACGTCCCTCTTGCTGTAAGGCACGGTATGGCAGATGCCGCAGCAATGTGCCAGCCACCTGCACCCAACACATGTGCCAGTGTGACCCAGGAGATGGCGAGGCACATGGTGCAGCAGTGGTAGAAATGCTGGGAGGTGAGCAGATAGCGGGGACCTCCGAGCCTCCCCAGGCTACTGCATGAGGACTGGCCACGTGCTTGACCTGGCATCCACATCAGATGAGATTCATGCATTGGCATGGCTTTAGCTTGAGATCTTAAGTGGTTCTGTTCCAGTTTATTCCTGGGGTTTTCTTTTCCTTTCAGTTGCCAAAATGGTGCATTTTTCATGTGTCCCAGCAATTTCAGAATGATGGGAAACTTGCTGACCCTGAATTACTTTGACATTTGCTAAAAGTATTTGTGCTGCACTCTGTCCTTCTGCACATCTGATATTTCTTCATCCCCTTTCTGTTGCAAATCAGCCTCTGTTAATTTCTGTTAATTTAACTATATCCTTCAAGTGTCCTAAAGAAGCATCCTTCAAGAACCCTAAAACGCATCAAGACACATGGAAAAAGACAGATCAAGTTATTTGAACAAAGCTGGTTAACTAGCCTAGTGTTTTTGACTGAGATCACGTCTGCTAGGAACTCTGAGACTATTACTTAAGGGATTCTTCTTTGCTATATGACTCTCTAATACCAAAGCAAAACCAAGTCTTCGTCTGTTGAAATGCTTTTTCTCCTCTTTACGCAAAATCAGTAAAGCCTCAGCTGAATTGCTGTGTCTGGGTTTGGGTAGTTGAATTGCTGTGTCTGGGTTTGGGCATTTAAAGATGTGAATTCATTAGAGGATGTACGCAAGAACAAGAAGGACTATTGGAGGTTTAGGAAAGATGAGCTACAAGTAAAGTTGTTTAACGTAAGGAAGAGGCTGTTATATGGAGGCGTTACAAGAGTTTTCAGACTGGGGAGGTCTGAAAATTAAATTTAAGTTTAAAACAATTGTTTTAGAAATCAATATCATCAGTAAATGTAGTGAAATATTGAAATAAATGTTGTGGAGATGCTGTGGCATTTCCATTGGAATTCTTTGCTTGTTCTGTTTTTTAATTAATTTTGGGGAAAAAAAAATCCTATAGATGAAGCTTCACTGGAGTCGGGTGCCCCCCCCTAGAAGTTTTCCAGAAGGGATCTTCATTGACTGTGTGGCTGCTGCTTCTGGGTGATGCTGAAGTACAAATAAATTTTAATCCTTAATATATATCGTGCGTCTCAGTCACAGGCGCATCTACTCTTTTTTGTATGTGAGGATTTTGTGGTGGATGCTTGGTCTTGGCCACTCCAAATGGTCAAAAAACCCCCCAACATTCAGTTGGAACCTGTTGCCCCCAGCAGCGTGGCTGTGAGACTGGAAAGTCTCACATGCATGATGGCAATGCAGGCTCAGGTATTTAAAGATGCACGCACCATTGCAATCGCTAGCAGCAGTCTGAGGAGAAGTAGCTTTATCAGTTTTTCACCATCAGCTGCTGCTGATCTCTTTTGCCTGTTGCCTTGCTATCAGATGAGTGGTCCATACTTGCTGTCTAAATTTTCCAATGACCTCTGATGGGGTCGAACGCATGCAGTTAATTAGGAGGCTGCATCCTCTGAGGTCTGAAGGCTGGTAAATCCTGACGCACTTCCTGAGGATGGACTGGGATCACTGGAACAACCTAGTCTTGGAGATAGCCTCTGGCATATTTTGGCATGTCTTATGCAACAGTAAAACTTGGTCTGAACTTGAAGCTCAGGAGCTCATTCACGTTCTTGGCACAAACCTGTGATGTCTTTGCGCTTGGATGTTTTGCCCCTTGCCAAGCTGTCAGCACAGATAAGACATCCATAATTCTAGGGATAGCGGGTATGTGCCTAAATATTTTGTCTTTTTTTTTTGGTGATAGGTTGCTATAATTTGCTTGTTGCTCTTTGTTTACTAATACTGATTGAGCATGCAGGGCAGCATGTTGGCACTGTGTTTAAAATGGAATAAAACCAGAAAACTCAAATCATGACTAGCATGTTGTTATTAAGTACTTGTAATCCAAGAGGCACTGATGTGCTTGTTCAAGCACAAGCATACAGGTCAGCAGTTCGGAGACCTAGTTGTAAACTGAAACAAATGTTGAAGATTGGCCTCAATGTACCTTTTTGATGATTATTTTTTAGCCTCAGATTGGTTATGGTAATCTCTAAAGAAAGCAGTAAGTTCTTCTATATTATTTTCTTTTCTAGCAATTTTCCCTGGCCCCGTTCTCTTGAATTATGTAACCTATATTTTAGTATAACAACTACTTTCCTACTGTATTACTCTCTAGGGAACAATTTTGCATTAGTAGGGGGATGAACAAGATGACCTCTTAAGTCTTTTCCATCACCACTTGCTGTAATATTTGACCTTGTTACGCAGCCTTTTCCCTTCTGTAACTCTTTGACTTTTACAGAAGAGCAGTCACAGCATTTTTTGGACATGCAGAAGTGCCCTCCTTTGAAGTTATCAACCTGAAGTACTGTTTCCTGCACTTCAGAACTAAAGAGCATATTAGTGCCTTTTGCACTCAAGTGGAGAGGACCTGTGTAAATAAATCATTGCAGGGAAGTATGCTACGGTGCCTGTTCCATAGCTGGAATGCATAGGCTGAAGAGGCAGAGGATCTTTATATGTTGGCAAGGCTGTAAGTTTCCAATATGCCTTTCTAGTGTTGCTTTTTATTTCAAGGAAGGAAGGCTGAGCTGCTTGAGCAATTTGTTCTAGATCTGTACTGTGTCCGTGGACCTACACAGTGTACTTACTTCACTTGTTTCCAACAGGAGGCTTTCTCCATGTGTCCAAAGTTATCAGTAGGTATCAGACTGGATGGGAAATGTAACTGTAAAGGGGAATTCTGTATTCTAGCTTGCAAAATCAGAAAGGACACGTGAGAGGAGTAATTTGGAAACGGAAAGAAAAGCTGTGGTGATATTCAAGTGATAAGTGGATTCAAAGATGCCTTGCTGTTCCAGTTTGTTCACAGCTTTCAGCTCATAGAGGGCAGCAAATGCTTTTTGTGGCATTGGCCTGACAATAATTTCTCCAGCTCCAGCCTGACCACGAAAGTCAGTTCTAAAAAAATTTTTTTTGTAATGAAAACCCCCTGCATTTTCTTTATCTCTCCAGAGACAACTAATTTATAAAGCCTGGGGTTTTTTAATCATTGAAATGCTTGAGCCATTCAGATATCTTGGAGTAGTTGTTGCTGCTTTCTGTGCAGTTAAGTGATTCGTTGTTGACTCTGGGTTTTAATGTCCCATTCTAATTTTTACTTGATAATTTGTTGTGTTCTCCTGCTCTTGGGCTTTTTTATTGCTTATATCCTTTTTTCCACAGCAGCAGTAGAAGACAACTGAGACAGGTTTCTGCAGTACAGAGTTGGGAAAACAGTAGCAAGCACAGAGGTATAAAACTACTAGTTTTATAAAAAGTACTAGCCCTTTCTGTCAGCCAGCTTCACCCTGCTCTCAGCCCACATCAGCTTACGTGTCCTTCTTTCACGTGCTTATGAGTAAGCAGGACCTTAATACACTAAGTAAGTTAGAAATGGAAATAATGAAAGTTTTGACACCATTAGTTTTTAATATCTTAGCATAATGCAGTGCAACATACAGAGAGTATCAGCTTCCATAGCTATAACCCCCAGGATCCAGCAGATGAAAACTAAAGTTTCCTTTTGCACTTAACTGTATAAACACTTGCTGCGTTTTAGCATCTCCCTTTAGCGTAAATCATTGGCATTTTTTTGCCACAGTGTTTGCAGATAGTGTGACAGAATGTTCTCCCTCGTTCCACGTGCATGTGGATGGGTCTACAGAAGCAAAGGGATAGTAATTTAGAGCTTTGTGAAGGGGAAACTCTGGCTAATGGTTTATCTGTGACACATGGTTTGCTTGAAGACAAGCAGAATAAACAAAAGTTTGGTAGAAATGGTCAAGAGGAGAGATCAGTTTAGAGCTGTTAGGCTCCCAGAGTGGAGTGTGATGAAGACTGGAAAGTCCCTTCTATCAGTTATATGTGTAAAAACCTCTTTCTTTTAAATCTTACTGTATTACTTAGATGTTGCTGTAGTTTATCTGTATGTTGGTAATGAATCTCAAGCATTGACTAAAACCTGGAACCAGGGGTGGGGGACTCTCCAGGATGTTCGGGAATGATGTGTTCAGAAAGAAAAGGACCTACCCCGAAAGGATGATTTCCGTTTTACACAAATGATTCAGTTTCTCACTCAGTCTTTCCATGCTTCCTAATGCTTAAGTTTAGTTCTCTGTAGGTGATCGTTTAAGCATTACTGCTTTCTTTAAGCATTATTGTTTTCATATTAGTGGCACTCCAGACTTTCACCTCTCCTGCTGTCTGTTCTCCCTCTTACTGACTCCTCTCTGCTTTTCTGTACTTCTCTTTGCGTTGTTTCTCTGTTGCATGTCTCTGGTTCCTCATCCTTAGGGTCACCATTTTTCTCCTTGGTCCTCTGGAGTTTTCTTATTGTTACTCCTTTTCCCACATATGATTGAATCTCATTTCATGTCTCTTGGAAATACAGGAGCAAGAATCGGGACATGCTTCATGAGGAGGACACTTGCACCTGGAGAAGTGGATACATTTGTCACTGAATTTAAATGTATAATTGTTCTTGTACTGACAGTTTTATGGTAATTCCCTTGTGATAGAAGTTAGGACATTTGGCGCTTCAGAGAAACGTTCAAACAGGTTAGCTCCAATCCTTCTTCCCAAAGTGGGGTTTCTGCCCTGTGTGCTCTCCCTGTGGAAATCCAGGGGACTGTTTTCTGCTGGTTGCTTCTTGCAGCGGCAGGAAAGCAGACTTCTGCCCTTGAAGAGGCAGGAAACTCCTTAAGCGCGAGTGTACAGAATTGGTCTGAAGTGCTGGCTGTATTGGGTATTTTTCATTCCCAGTGGAGATCCCACTGTGGAGTTCTCCCTGCTTGCCTGTCCAAACCCACGGGCTCCCTGGGGTTTGCAGGTGGCTCTTTGCACCCTCTGCTTTAAGCCTCTGCCAGCATGGCTTTAGGGTATGGGATAGGAAAGGATGTCCAAGGCTATTTTGTGGCTTTCCCTCCTCCCACTCCCCACCTGCGAGTCCTTTACAGAGAAAGGGAATAAGGATGCAGGCTTGAAGGGGAGCTCTTCTCATATGCAGGTGTAATAGGATCCTCTCCCCACAAAGGATCTCCCTCTCCCAGCGGGGGTAAAGGACGCTGCTCTCTGAGGGGACCCACTGTTCCAGATAATTAGCTAAGCAGCTGCTGTGTGTCTGAATGAAAAGGAGGGGAGGGAGGTTTTGCTCTGATGGGGAGCTGGGGCGGCATTCCTTGGAGGCAGCCTGCACATTCCTCCAAAGCAGTCGGTCCTGATGGTGACATGGGCTCAGCGTTGCGCGGCCAGGCTTCCCGAAATTTATACGCAGCCGCTTGCTTGGCCTCGGGTCCTTTATTGTGGGAAAACTCCTTTTCCTCACTGAGTGCTAATAGTTTATCTGTGGATCAGTGGGAGAATATATAGCTTGAGTTCACATGTGATGTGTTGCGCTAATTAATGCAGTACAAAGTATTTATAGAGAGAAAATAAGATCAGATTCGGAGAAAAAACGAAGATTTGTAATACGCAAAGTGAAGTAACCTCAGCAGAAGCAGCAGTTGTGTTAATGCAATAGCGCACAATGTGCCTGTGAATGAATCTCTTCTCCATGTATTTTCTAGGGGGGCCGGGAGGAAAAGGAGAGTGCCTTGTCTGGCCAACACATTTACGACTAGCTTTTGTGGACAAAAGCAAAACTGAAAAGAGAGCCTGTTCTTGGCACAGGACCAGGTCTTTTCTTAGAGAACTGCTTTAATTTGTTTGACATATAGTGAAAGACTGGCACACTGCACTAATTAGTTTTATATACAGTTGTTTTACAGATCTGCAGCACTATATGTACCCGTGGGCCCGCTCAGGTAACCCAGTGAAGTCTACCAGGCTGCTTCCTGAAGCCTGTTTGCAGGATTGGACCTGTATGCCTGACTTCTTGCTGTGCTGCTCAAATTTTTACCCAGTTTTATAATTCTGTAAATTAATTCAAATAGAACAACACCCATTTAAAATTGGAATAGTGTAGTAATAAATTTGGAAGTGTAGTACTTGGCATTCGCAGAAAGAGGGGGTTTTATTGTTATAAAAATTTGTTCTTTAATTTTTTTTTCCCTCATCAGTGCTGGTGGAAACCTAGGCAGTTTATTTAAATTCTAAAAGACTATTATTATTACTTCTATCACTAGTACTTCTTCCTAGTGAGCACTTAAAATAATGTTTTATTCATTGTTGCAGGGACAAGAATTAAGTTTTTAGTTTCTAAGTACTAGCCAGTTTGCAAGTGGCTAGTAGAAGCCAGAGAATATTGCTACTTCTGCCCCATGCAAGGACTTTAGAAATGAATGGCAGGAAATGTTTCAAATGTTGTTTAATTAGATCTGCACCAGGTACCCTGCTAATGTAATCAGATGTGGAGTTAATCTCCCTTTTATGTTTTTGTAAGGAAAGGAGCTTCTTCTTGAAATTATAGTTTAAAGAAAAGAGGCATGGATGGGAGACGTGGAGGTCATTCAGGCAGCAGCAAGTGAAGCAGAGCAACTCCCATTTGTGCTCAGCCAGATGTTCACGAGTCTTTGCCAATAGCTCAAAAGGCTGATGCTACATAAATTACTATATCCCAGGGACTAATTCAATGGGTGTGATGGAAGAGGAAGGGAGGAGGATGGTACCCGGTCGGTCAGAGGTCAGGTGTAACACATGGGACTGAACCAAGCAATATTCAGCCAGTTCTGTTTTTTCTTTTATTATTGTGGATTGAAAACACTCATTTTCCCATAGAAAGCAGAAGAAAAGTCAATACTTTCATTAAGAATATAAAGACCAATTATTATTTTCTTTAAAAAGTCCCTTTTCCCATGTAGTTGAAAAAGTTGAATACCCAATGAAATTTGAGCCTCTGACGGTCATCTTTGAAAATATAGAATCCCCTTTGAAAGCTACCAGTGCTCTGATAAAATAAGGATCTTTAAAGGCTTCTCTTGCTTTCTGCAAAGATGCCGATTGCAAACCAAACTGCTTCCCCTCCACCGCCACGTTTGTACCTAATTCACCTAGAGAAATCCCTTTTCACCTAGCATGAGTTGTTTTCCTTTTCTCTCTAGGAGAGTTATTTTTACAAAAGTAAAAGCAAGCAAAAACCCAGAGTAGTAAACAATGGTTTTCTTTTAGAGCATGAAGCCTTCTCTCGACCAAACTGCTGCCGTTGCAAGAAAACAGGCACTTGTAGGTTGCTACCTCTCACGTGTGTCTGTCTGTATCACAAGCCCGGTTATCTTTGACGCTCTGCCTGTAGAGAGAAGTGGTGAGCTAAGGGAATCTCTTTGTCTTTCAAGGATATACACCTACCTGTTCTGATGTGAAGGATAATTTAACAAATGTGACTCTTGCTTGTTACAGAAAGGTAAATAAAACTCAATTCCCTATCAGTACCTGGTTTTCTATCAGATAGTTTCAAAAGAGTTGACTCTGATTTTGAATGTTTGAGGTTGGCAGTGCTGATGCTTTTTCATTTCTTAAGATGTCCTACAGCCTACAGATAAAAAGCAGGATTTCAGGGTTAATGAAGTACCAACTCAGTGTGCCAAACAGTATTGCTCAATCAGTGGGAAGCCCATGGAGGGACAGAGTGCCTTTTCTTTCATAAAATAAAGAAATAAGCAGTGCCCTCTAGCGTTACTTAACATCAGAGAGAACCACCAGGAGAATTTTCTATCATCTAGGTATCTGCAGTTAAACCTATTTCACAGCCGCAGATGCAGCTCTTCATTTCTTGAAGAAAAGTAGTAAAAAAGAACTGCAATAGCATAGCTTATCAGGACATAACTGTCAGAAATGCCGTCATTAATAGGTAGATACAGTCAGATATCTTAAACTCCCTGACCTGTTTTATGTTCTCTAATCTTGAAGTGTATGAGTGTAATATGTCTCCAACCTGTACCTGACCTGGGGAAGGATGGGAGATGTGTTTTACCAAAGAGCGAGAGACTCGTGAAGTTTCAGGGAGAGGTGTAGCAGTGAGTGTTCCTGCTTGAAGTTCGGAGGTTCAGTTTCTGGCATAAAGCAGTCCTGGTGTACGTATTCAAGCTTATCTACGACACGTTATAACAAGGCGGTGAGCAGGTAGGTCTTCTGGGCTGTCCTTGGAGCACCTCAGAATTTTTTGGTTCTGGTGATAGCAGCAGGTTGGACTCCTGTTTCAAAGCCGTGGGCATCATTTGTTTCAGTTAAAGACAACTCTGCCAGGGATGCACTGTGGGAATTAGTCACCTCTGTGCTTTAGCATGGAAGGCTATTTCTCATTCTGTTTAAAAGAGGGCAACGCTTTAAATTGCTAACGTAAAACAGCGAGCGTTAAAAAGCATTTGCTATCTGGTTTCTGAATTGTCTTCAGTGTGAAAACATCATAAACAAATGTGTCTTTCCCTCTCTTTTTTTTTTAATTTGATTTTCTACCATAGAAAAAGAGCTTATGAGTGATTATTGCCTTTCAGTTTCTGCTGATGCATTTTCATAGCCTTGGTTGCAGTCTGGGGCTTTTGGGATGAGCCCCGAGGTCCCTGTGGTGTTAAAGTTACTGTTGACAAATGGGAATCCTGAAAGGCCTTGAGAACATCTTACCGAGTGTTCCTGAGCTGTAATCTGGTGTGTGCGTTTATCATTTTCTGAAAAACAGCACACAGAAATACAATAGAAGTACAAGCTTTTATAAGGTGACCCATGCAATACCTTGGTTTACGCAGGTTTTCCTGCCCTGGGTGAGGTTCGCCCTGGACCGCGGCTTTCTAAACCAAAGCATCTTCTGATGTAGCATGACTCCAAGGAGTGACGGTCTTACTTTCTTCCTTGGGTTATGCTCCGTGAATGTTTCTGATGGCTGTCAGCACTATAAGAAGTGGGTGGCAAGACTTATGTAGGCAGTCAGTATATTGCCCATGTGTAAGACTATCAGGTGAAGAGGTTAGGCACTTGTATTTCTGAGCTGATTCAACAAGATTAGCTCCATGTGATGAGGGATCTGCAAATGCGCATCGTCTCTGTGTAGATTGCTGCACCCTGGTAGTAGATGTCAGAAATGAGATGACTTACCTGGCCTGTTGCATCTCGAAAGGGGTGTCAGACCAGCTCAAGCGTTTGCAATACATGCTGCTGTCTTGTTGCCACTGCTGTTGCCAAACTTGATACTTCCAGTAGTTATTGATTCTTCAGCTCTAATGATAGACCCCTTTTTGAGCTGCAGTTAGTAACTTCTGTCCTCTTTGCTACACACGAGCAGGAGGAGCATTGTTTGTGCTGATTGCCAAGGAAGACATTATGCTGTGTGAAAAGACCAAGAAGAAAAATGTTCGGCATTGTTCCTCTGAGATGTACCGAAAATCTGCACGCACCAATGAAAGCAACCAGCGTTATGGTATCATAACAATGGTTCGTTAGGACTTTACCCCGTGCCAGGATGATGATTGTTCCTGTCTAAGACCAAGACTAACAGATGGCATTTGTTAGGACATGGATATTTACGTACAAAGTTGCCAGCACTTTAAGAAGTGGTGCCTTTCTTAATTAAGATGATAATGTACTGCCTTGTTTGGAGAGATTCTGCTTGTAATGATGCTGGTGAATTATGAATAGAGGGAAATTAGTAATAACAAATGCCAGATGGAGGTATCTTTCAAAGAGGAATATTTTGTGCAGTATGGCATGTAAAGTTGACAGGCTGGGTCTTAAAAGACCTTTATTATTCTTTAAGCTTTCCTGACAAAATTACTCTTTATCCTGCCAAGAAATGTAGTGTCACATGCCAGTGTGTTTTTAAGCGAGAGTAATTAAAGTATGCTTCGAAGTTTATGGCTTGAAGTGAAATCCATTCCCCCAATGTTTTGTCAGGAATCTATAAACAGTGCAAGGAAGGAGACAACTTATAACAACAATAGTTTTGCCAATTCTACACGTTCTGCCTTTGAAATCAGAGGCAATTAGGGATGAACAAAACTACTTTCAAAGTTTAAAAAAAAAAAAGTGTAAGTTTTGCTGAAGTTTTACTTCACATTTTTCCTTTGGTTGAAGATGACTGTAGGGAATAAGAAATGTTTTGTAAAATTTAAACCTGCCTTCTTTGATTGAAGTAAAAACTGATTACTGAGTTATAAATGCATTGAATCCTCAAATGCTAGGCCTTTTTTTTTTTTAACTTCCTGAGAGAGCGAAATAAAATTTAATTTGATTTTGTAGTGTAAAGTAGTAATTAAAAGAGAAATAGACAAGGGAGAGTAAGAAATAAAACTTTGGGGTTTGATATTTCATTTTCTCGTAAGAATATTCCCACCCCACGGGCATTCCAGCTTTGATCTCATGACCTGCTGGCTGCTGTCCATTGCAGAAAAAGTCCTTTCATTATGATCTGTGGGTGAGGCAAAGTGTGTCGTGGGAGGTGACCGTGAATATTTGATTTTCCTTTGCAATTGTCCTCTGATTACATTAATGTGATAAAATTCAATTTAGGACTGTAGAAGCGTTGCATATAGTCTCTCTCTATCAGATATGCCAAATGTAGCAGACCAGGAAGACTTGAAGAGCATACCTTCTGCTCCATCCATGCATAGTCCCAAATCACTTCCAAATACACAATAATAAACTTGAGATGTACAGTCCAAGACTTATTCCAAAGGCACAAACATTGTGGCAGGGTTCAGAAAGATAGCAGAGGAGTTGCTTTTGTCTTCTTTAAATTATTTCTATGAGTATGCATTAGTAGGGGAATAAATGAAGTAATAGGTTTCAATATTGGATGATGAAAAGAAGACTTCTGCTTCATTTAGAAAAAGATCAAGATCAGTTTTCATGAGAATAAAACACTGTTTTGAATTATGCTTAGAACAGACTGTCCGACTATTTCTGGTATTAACATTCATTGCCATTGCAGAAAGGATTTAACAATAGAAAGATGAGAACATGAGAAAAGAATGTCTGGAGGGAAGGCAGTCAAGGATGGGATTCAGTGGCTCTAGCTTTGATAACAAAAGCAAAGAGTGCTGTCAGTTGAGTCTTTTGAGATTAATCTGGTACTTTCAATAAACCCTAAATTTACCTTAATGCAAAAAGAGCAGTATTTCTAGTCATTTTCAAGAACTCCTTAGAGCATTGTTTCTCACTGATCTTGTTGAAGCTATTGTGAATTCACCTGGGAGATGCCATCTGAAGTTATGGACAACTAAACCCTGGTTTTACTTGCACTTTTTTAATGAACGAGTCCTGTATATATAAAAAACAAAGCTACTTTCTTTAACAGCAATCTACCTAATGGGAAATGGGCGCGATGACTCTTCCACTCCAATTCTTTTGAAATCTGTATTACTTTTTTGCCACATTGTCAGTTTTGTTTGTGCTGAACTTTTCTGTTGTCTTTTTTTTTTTCCCCAGAAAAACTTTACAATTCCAATGGACGGGAGCTGAGACGGGCACTTTTCTCCTTGAAACAAATATTTCAGGTGAGCAAATAATGACTGTCCATTCTGTGATTTGAACATGAATTTCTTTTTTTAATGTAGGGAATAACTTACAGTTTCTGGTAAAAGAGGATTTTAAGACTTCATTTGTAATGTGCAGTTAGCCAATTGCCTCTTAGGATCTTTTCTCTTTATGGTCTGCAAGCCTTCTTCTGTTCCTTCAGTCTGTCAGAAGGCAGGACCAGATGTGGAGTAATGAAAGAGTTAGTGGCTGGAACCTGCCAGGAAAGGAGAGAAGAAAATTGGGACTCTTAGATGGAAACTTAGGCTGCTCGTTAGACAGTGGCATAGTTCTGTATGGGGAAGACAGGGAGGGGGATACAAAAAGAGGAGCTAGGAAACCATGGGTTGTGGTAATGGCCTAATATTGGCCTAATAATTGACAAATAGACTAGGTTTAAGCCACATCAAAAGCTGAAAAAGGATGTGAGAGACATGGGACAGATCTGATGAGGAACCAAGATGCAGTGGGAGAGCTCTGAAGGTGTTAGAATTTAGATTGAGGTTAGAGGAAATGATTTGTTGATTAGCCAAAAAAATACTTCATAGAGCTGAGGAGGGTATGGTAGTGACTGATCAGTTTAAGTTTAAGGAAAGGCATGTATTTGAATGTGAGTGTTTGTTATGGAGGAGACCTGAAAATAGCAGGATTTTGGGTCCTGTGGGGAAGTAGCCAATGTGATAGACAACTGGTGTGGGTGATAAGAAAGTGAATTGAATGAAAAGCTTAGATTTCAGATTGGTTTTACTGGATAAGGAGAAGGACTTGGGAAAGTTGCAGGACTGGAAGGAAACTTGTTGGAGAGAACAGGTCAGGAAAAGTGAAAAGAAAACGTCGGTGAGAACTAGAGCATACTGCCAATGTGATCCTAAAATGGAATTCAGGATGACATGTTCCATTTCTATCAGTAAATATAAGTGAAATCAATAAGAAAAGCACCTCTCCTCCTTTACTAATGGATCCAAATGGAGGATGGCAACCTATAATGTTTTTCAGCTACAATAGGTAGGTGCAAGGGTTTCAAGCTGTTAGTTTAGCGTTTTTTGCTTTGTTTTAAATAGACATTTGTTCTAAGAAGAATAACAACGTTTAACAATTCTGCAAGACTGCAGAATTGCAAATTTCAAAACACACAATGCTTTTTGCAGGTTTCAAAGTTAAGCATTCAGAAGTTAGAAAATGCCAGAATGAAGATTTTCTCAACAATAGGTGATGGTGAAGGATGCACCATTTAATGGAAAATTTTGGTAGTTGAAGATGTCTTCTGGACCAGAAAAAAGCCCTTGAATTTTGAAATTTTTGGACAAAGAAGGAGTTCCAGCTCCAAAACAGTCTGGTCATCTTATGACCACAGATTGGGAAAATCATTGTCTCTTCAAGGCATTCCCAGGGAAAGACTGTTTGAGAGTCACAATGATGCCAGTTGGGTTTCCCTGTGAGCTTGCCAAGTTGGTAGATTGTGTGCTCAGAGGAAATTAGGCAGGTTTCCAAGAGTATTCTCTGATTTCTTCTCTTTTTGTTCACCTCAGCTGTTTCTGGGAAGTATTTGTATTTCTGGGAATTTATGTATTCCACAGGTTAATCTGGGCACTCACGCATATTTAGCAGGGAGTGCTAAGCCTCTCTTCCCACCCGTCCCATACCTCCAATCATGACTTTTCCCAGTTTGGGTATTCATAAATGTTCTCTTCCATGTAGGTTATTTGAAGTCTAGTAGGTATTTCTGAGCACATAGTGCTCAGTGCTTTCAGTGAACACACCAGTAAGATCTCTGTCTTCCAGCTGATCAGCTGTTTTCATGGAAATGTTGTTTAAATATTTATCCTAATAAATTTAATTGGAGTTGACTGGGCTGAAGAGTAATGAGCAGGAAGGGAAAAGTGATGCACACAAACCCGTATCTGGGTATGAATTTAGTTTTTAAGTGAAGCCTGTCTGACAGTTTCAGAACATAATTTTCCTTGAAGAATTCGACTTCCCTGCTTCCTAATGTATGTGGTACGGAAAGGAATTTGGGAATTATCTGTTACCACTTCAAGTAGCTACTTCTGGTAGAACTGTGGCTGTTTGTCAAAAAAACCCACCCTTCAAAAAATCTTCATGTACTCTCAAAATACAGGTTCTCATTAGTGGATAACTGAGGAGAAGTCTTCCTCAAGCTGGAGAGTATTCATATCATATGCTCAAGTATTAGAGGTAGCGCACTTCAAACTGGAAAATGACACCCTGTATGATGTAAACTCCTGTTTACTTGTCAACTTCGCTGTCCTTAACAACAGTTACCGGCATTGCTAAGGGCATCATTTGAGTATGATTTTAGTTTATCTCATAAGGAACCATGAGAGAGAATGTAAGATGATTTTTATATCTGTTTTAGAAAGAAAAGCTATTTCAATTTTTTAGTGAAGAAAAATGCAAGTTAATATTATAAGGTTATATTATAGACCAAACACTATTGTCCAAAAGGTCATACCTAATTTATTTGTAAGTCTATGACATTAAAGTATGTCAGCATTAGAAATCTATCGTTATGTTAAAAGTATATTTTTTAACTTAAATATCTGTTTGATTTTGTATCTTATTATATTTAGTATTTTAAATCCCTTAGAGTATAATATTTCGGAAATAAAATGTTGACTTCAAAACCAGTCTTTATTTTCATTTTAACAAATTTTCAGAGTGTTATGGAGACTTCATCGTGTCTTTAAGTGCCAAGACTGTTCGTAACACCTTGTTTTTATAATAATTTCATCATAGCTGAGTTAATTTGGCACAGTTCTGTGTCAGTATCATTTTTAAATTAAAGAGCGTCAAGGTAATGTGCAGTCTCTTATTTGCATTAAGTGGGAACAAGCCAAAGTTTTACATTAAATATGAATTCCAAATAGTCGGAGCTCTTGGTTTTTCGTGCGAGGCCTCAGCGAAGCTTAGCAATGTTTGGCAAAAGCAATGCCTTTGTTTCAAATTTTAAATGAAAGATTCATTTGGCAAGTCCAAACTTGGAATTTCTGTTTGGTTACTTCTGGTGGGCTGGTTTTGGCAAAACAATAAACGTCATGTGGAGCATTTTTCTTTGACAATAATGCCATTCTGTTCCTGTCATTCATTCTGAAGGGCTAAGATAGCCACACTCATCATCTTTTGCTGGACTGTACTGCAGTATTCTTCTTGTGATTTACCGGTATGCTTTTTGACGAACAAACTTACGGAGTAAGGAAAGTAATGTTCAGACTAGAAGTATATGAAGCACTTGACCTTAAAGGAACTTAAAAAAGATATACAGATATAATTGACAACCTGTTGGGAGTACACTTTAGCTCCCTTTGAATGTATTTTCTGACAGACTTCTGAGTTGCCTGGTTCTTGTGTTTATCAGAGATTGGTGAATTTTGTGCAAAGTGCTAAAACTCCCAAAGGCATCTGGGGCAGAATCCAGCTGAACCTTTCTAAAATCAGGGTCGAAAAACATTCTTGCATTTCCTGATTGTGATATCATAAGAGAGATAAAAATACAGCTGCTTAAAACATTTAATTCAGCATCAATCTTAAAAGCAGTAAAATTGGGTATGAGCACTATAATATATGTAAATAGTGCTACGCAATTTACATGATATTAAAAAAGTTTACTTAACAAGACCTCTGATATGACTACATGTAATATAAAACAGGCATGTTTTAGAACATATAAAGAAAAGTGTGCCTTGTAGTTACAAAGCATTACAAAGCATAGCTTCAAATCATGCTGACTGCATCATTTCAAAATATGAAATAACTGGATAAGAATATGGTGTTGTAAGAAAAATAAGAAAGCTATAAAGCATGTTTCAAGTCTGTTGAAATCTATACTCATGTGTAAATCTGCTTCTTAAAGGTTTGGAAAATATTTTTAATCAAAGCATTAGATTTTCTAGAAAGCAGACCTAAAGGGTATATTTTAAAGTGTTCAGGAAAAAAGCCAGTTTTCTTTTAGGACTGTTTTCCCCACTAAGCGTCATTTGACAAATGCAGGAGATCTCCCACTATTTTTCTTGAGGAGCCTAGATTCCCGTTTTGTGTTGTGATCAGAATATCAAGCAACACAGTTACAAAATTCTCTTACAGAATTTTCTTCTGTTGTTGAGAAATTCATTAATCATTGAACAATTGAGCTTTGTGTAAAACATCACAAAGAACAGCTATGTAGGGGCCCTGGAAACATTAACTAGAAGGTGTTTGGATAGACACAATTTTATCAGTGAGTGAAATCAAATGTCACACACTTCAGCTGCTAAGGAGTCATCAATCATCCTTAGGAGAGCAGAAGGAGTATTCTGTGTTTGCCTCATTGATCTCAAGGAAGGAGGCTGCTCCTTCCCCTCCTGCAAGCATGAGTGATGACTCCTTAGGGTTTGAAGCTGTGTGACACTTGATTTAGGGGCTGCTGTCATCACTTGTGAGGCAGGCTGCCACCTCTCCCCTTTAAGAGGCCTCTTGGAAAGGTTCTTGATTAAGTCACGAAGAAGAGAGAAACCTTCATTTCCTTCCCAAATCGAATTCACCATGGTTCCGTGTAGCAGTTTACATATCTGTTTAATCCTATTTTACAAAGATGTGTCTCATTACTGTTTAGAGATTATGAATAAAATAGATTTGACACGTTAAATGTCAAAATCAGTTTCTCAATTTCATTGGCAAATAGAGTGTCTTCTTCATGCCTAGACAATGTTATGGGCTGAGATCTAAACAGATGTTAATGAGACTATAAAGTATGAACTACTTCCACCACAAGGATAGCCTAAAAACTTGGGAAGCCACCATTATTCATTCTCTAATCTGTGCGAATCCTTGAATTGAAACAGGAAACCTTGTTTTGTATGAAGCCTATCTACTTTAGCTTCCTCAGGTATGTAACACAATGCATGAACGTTGTTTGATCTGTTGCTTAGCTGCCATGAAGAATATCCCTGGTAGGGTCTGGTCTAGGTGACTTTTCTAGTAATTT